GCTCCCTGCCCCGCTCGTAGCAAGGAGGCGGGAAAGGAACGTTCTCCTCAGGTAACAGCTCAGCCGGGCATTGACACCCATCGCCCGAGACCCAGTTCTGGGCCTTCTGGCCCGCCCGGCCTGAGGCTCCCTGCCCCGCTCGTAGCAAGGAGGCGGGAAAGGAACGTTCTCCTCAGGTAACAGCTCAGCCGGGCATTGACACCCATCGCCCGAGACCCAGTTCTGGGCCTTGTGCAGACAGCAGAGCAAGCACGGGACCCAGTGAACTCAGGCTCCCCGCCCTCGTCTAAACGAGCTGGGCTGAGGAGGAGTCAGCCTTTGTTTACATGGACGATAGCATTCGGTTAAATGGATTTGGGGATTTTCAAAGTCATGTCAACAGGTGTAAATCCCAGTGTAATTACTTATAAATGAATAGAGTAGTTTTAAATTTCATTATCCAGGCTTATTTTAATTCAAAGAATGGTTAGAAATCCAATAAGTCTCAACAGAATTTAAAATTGAATTAGTACAACTTTGAATATGAGGACCCATTGTAGAAAAGCAAATCTTTATTGAAACAATTTAACAATGGAGCAAGTACAGTTCACGTGAATAGTTTGCCCTTTTCCTCCCACATACAAGTTAACAAAAACCAACCAAAGTAAGTACCTGAAATGCTAATGGAAGGAAAAGAATTGGGACTTTATGGATGGGTGTCGACCAAGATGGCAAAAGAAAAAAAAACCCCACACAGCATGGCAAATCATTGAACATACAGAGGGATGGTGTAGCAGTATTTAATGAGTCCAAAATGTCATCCAATTGGGGCTTGGTTCTACTTTAGCCAGTACACAGGAGCAAAGATGGAAAAGGAGACCCAATCTTCACTCACTCCAGAGGAATCAAGGTCTAAAACCAGCCACTCAAGTTTGAAGAGGAGAATACTTTTAAGTTTCCAATAATGCAAAAGATTTATGACTTTGCATTTGAGTCATTGTTTTGTCTAGTGTCACAGTAGAATGCACATTCTGGTCAATACTGAGATTTGCAAAAACTGCATGCCTTGTTTGTGTTTAATCTTTTAAAATGTTTAAAAAGATTTTTTTAAATGTTAATCAAAATCCAAACATGCCACACACAACTACAACAAAGACAAGACCAAGCTTGCAAAAAAAAATTGCTGCCCTGATCATGTCTATATGGTGTGTGCAATACTACTGGAGGAGGAGCAGGAGAAAGGGAATGAGAAAGCTATTTTCAATTAAAGAGGTTTTTATGAACTGCCTTCTCCCATCCACTTTCTAGTCTTACAGCCTATAAATGCATCACTCCTCTAAGCCTGCAGAAGATTTGGTTCCATAAGGACTGCAGCACTATGTGAATCTATCATAGGTTTTACTTTCCTTGGTATTTACATTTTTAACTGTTCTTACAAAGTTAGGGTTAGAAGAGTAAACACCCTATCTGGTAGACAAACAAAAGTTGCACCAAACAGTCATGTTCTTCTCGGGCAAATGTGTAGCTTAGGGAAGAACATGACCTTGTGGCCCATACTATCTTCTGTTCACCCAAAAGGCACATTTCCATCAGATTACTCTTCTACCCTATTACACTGTAACTACCCTGCTGTTATCCCTGATCGCATACTGCTGTGGGCACAGCACCATGAATCCTTAAGTTCAAGCCTGTGTCTGCTGCACATCATAACCAACTTGTAAAATGCACTGCAAGTCTTGCCGGAGCTCCATTCCCTGTCCCCTAAAATGTGATTTTAACCTACAATTGGGCCAGAGTGCAGTCATGCTGTTGAAAAATTAAACAGAAGAAGATCTGTTATCTTTTATAGCTCAGTGGCAGAAGCAGAAAGCTCAGCTACTGATGTCAGAGGCATTTTGACATCTCCCAATCACCACATAGATGTAAACAGTTGAGAAATAACACAGGAAAATGCAATTTCACGGGTAAAATTATATTGTCAAGGGCACCCAAGCACAATTATTGGTTTGTACATCCCAGTTATGAAGAGCTGACACCAGGCATCAGGTGAAAGACTCAGAAAACATTTGCAGACAATGCCAATAAACATGAACTACTGGCAATTCAGGATCATATCCACAAAACTTCTCTACCACCACCAGTAAGGGACAGTATTAATAATGTGACTAGAAGCCTGCTCTCAAGGATCAGACTGCAGAGGTCATTATATATTCAGTTTGATGGGATGAGATTCCATCTAAGGAAGAGAGACGTCTTCCCTACAGTGCAAGGACTACAGGAGGGCCACAAAACATCTAACACCATGTCCTAGGTACATGTATTCCCTTTCAACTGCAGCATGATCGCTCTTCTGCTTTTTGAAAGGAAAACTTCAGTTTTCGAGTGCTATTAACCAACTTCTGTAATTAAGTATCTCTCACTGCCTCTCCTGTATGCAGAAATGTTCTTATGGAGCCAATGCAATATGACTCAATGTTGAGACAACAGGTTACTGGGAGCCAAAAGCAGGATCAAAGATGGAAGGGCTATGCTAAAAGGCTGTCCTAGAGGAGTCCAAACTCCCACAGATCTCTTATGGAGCAGTTTCTGGGCCATCTCTCTGGTACACTAAGTTGGATTTTTGTTTCCACACAGTAGTTTGCTATGAAAGACAGGATGGCAGGGAGACCTCTCCAGGATAGAGGATCAGTATGACAATTTAAGATAGGAAGATGGGAAAACTGTAGTCCCTGTCTGAACAGACTTTGCTGTAACCAAAGGGGGAAAAAAAAAGACTTCAAAACACAAGGAAACTAAGTCCAATTGTGAAAATGGGATTACTTGTAAGAATGCAGTTCAGCCTGAGAGTGACCCTGGGCAAGAAGGGTTAGAAGGTCCAGTTATCTGTACTTCTGTGGTTTAGATGCACAAGACAATGCTCAGGAGGAAGCCTATTCAAGGTGATTCACACCAACAGCAATGCAAAGCCCTTGAGACCTGTTTCTTCTGCTTATCTTCTCCCAAGTGAGAGATTACACCATAAGAGAGGAAAAGCCATGGTAAGAATCCACACACAAATCTGCATGGTCAGTGAAAGTTCTGTTTGGACTTGGAAAAGCGTTGGACAGCTTTATTGATAGCACTGTGATCTTCAAGAACATATAGTTGCCAGGCCATGTTGGGACGGACTAGAGTTCTGAACTGTAATGTAAAAAGTCAAAGAAAGTTTAAGGAATAATCTAAACCACTTTACAAAACAGATAAAAGCATTTTAAAGAGATTGTCAGGAAGAGTATTTTTTTTATTTTGGTCCAATAGGCCAATGGAGACCAACATCAGATGCAGATTCGTAAGGGTTTGCATTAGAAGTAGATCAGGATCTCACGGGTGTATTTTAGCAGCATGAATATTTTCAAGAAGTTATGACATCACTGAAGACCAGAGGTTTCACAACAAAGCCAGTCTGATTTCACAAGACACTGAGTTGTAGGGGTGAGGGGAAATACTACCAAGAATAGATTTTTCCAGTTCTCTCTCGTTCTCCTCACTTAAAAATCTATTCCCATTTGCTGTTCTTGCTTGCACTCAGATTCACCATCAAATATTTTCCTTTCATATATTTTGTGTTCCAAATAGCAACTTCTGGTCCTTTTATATTTAACTCTGAACCAAATCCCATTATCTTCCTTTAGGTCCCTATTTTTTCCCTGATATCAAATTCTGCCTGATACAGAACTAAGGGCAAAGAGATGGCTTTAGCAACCCTAGTCTAATGAAAAATGAATAGAAAATTCTCATCCTAAGGCATGGAGCATCCCCACCAATCCCTATTTCACTTCCCCATGAATTAAAATGAGAATACACTTCCTGTTGGCCACAGCAACCTCTTTCCTTAATTCAGTACCTCTTACAAAGAAAGTCTTCTCTGTGACATATTTCTGGGATACCTTAAAACCTTCAACCTCACCAGCCGAGGCATGGCCCAGAGTGTTTGTGCCAAACTATTTCCTAAACCCTACAGGCTTTTGTGTACTGTTTTAATCTAAAAAAGAAAAGCCACTTTTGGTGACCCAACTGGGCTGTACTGGAACTCAAGTGTTTTCAGTGAGTACATGGTCATATTTCAAACATGAAAAAGACAGACAAAAACCTCACTCACTAAAATTAGTAACAGTGAAATTCTCAGGAGGAAAACAAAATTTACATCTCTATTGCATTTTGTTGTCAGCCTGTTTGTCATGTTCCATTTAACATGAAACTAAATTGGGTCCATTATGAAAAAAAACACAAATAAATAGATGTGATGCTAGAAAATTTTTTCAAGGGGTGCTATAACTCATCGTTCGTCCTGCTCTCTTCTCTAGCTTCTTGCTTCTTCTCACTCTCAGGTTCTATGTAATAAAAAAAAAAATTAAGTGAAATTATGAAAAAAGTTAATTGTATTTATAATTTCACTTAAATGACAGACATGATATACAATGTGGTTTTTGGCTACTATAATACAGAGATGTTAAAATGCATGTAATGAAGTTACTGTGTAACTGCTGAAGATGCTGCTCCAGGGCAGCAGTTGGCTTCCCAGGAGCCAGTATGTGCTGCTGCCTCCGTTAAGTCAAATCCCCACATGTACCGGAAGCCTGCATGTAACTGTCAATGTTAACCAATGAATCCAGGCTCATTGGTTAACTGATTACATGGTTACACTTTCACATCCCTACTTTGATATATTAAAATATATTACAATTTTAACACGCTGTCAAATAATAGGAGATTGGAGAATTGTGGAGGTGTGCTTGGACAGTAGTATTAGATTGTAGCTACTAAAAGGTGGTGTGATTAGACACCAAGGTCTATTTCTTAAAACACCAGTGCACATAAGTGGCTTTACTCATGTGTAAGTGCAGAACTGTGTCCTTGAGTAGCCTAGAAATTCTCTGGTAGGTGGTGGCAGTAGTGAAGACAGGAACACTTAGGTAGTTAGAGACATACCAAGGTGAGATAAACATTCACCCATGTTGTGGGAGTTAAAAAGGAAGCCACCTTAAGAAGGGAAGCAAACCAGCATGACCAGATGTCTTGCCACATGGATATTTAGAGGCCCACTGTCAGATTAAAAGTTGCTTTTAAAAATATATAAACTTCCTTCCCATGTTACAATCCTTTGATTATTTTAGCTGAACAATTTCTAAGTTTAATTTACTCTTCAGAGTCTATACTATTTGCTTAAAATATACATTTAATCCAGTTTGGATATTGAACATTTATTAGTTTCCTTGTTCATAGCTGGAACACAAGTTCTAAAGCAGATGTAACAATGTCTTCCTAACAGCCCCAAGAATACAGTTCAGAGTTATAAGTCCGTTAGTGACCCCTTTAGGTGGGTCTACATTGCAAGCGAACGATTTCCCTTTGCTCAGTTGTAGCTTAGTGTCAATGGCTCCACAGCTACCATCCCATGTCTTTCTGGAGCTGGCCCTCTCAGTTGTAAAGTCTGATTAACTGAGACCTTCTCAGCAGCCAGAGGCTCAGTCTCACACTGTGGTTTATTTGCAGGGAAAAAGAAAGGGAGAGATGAAAACTGAGTTATATTTCCTTATGCAAATAAACTCCTACCTGTCTCTGGTTCCATTCCATCACCTACTGTCGCTTCCTCCACTGTGAGAGGTTCCCTGACAGGACTGGCATCTTCAGGTTTATCTGTATTATGCGGGAGAAGTGTGCAACAAGTGGTCATACAAGTGTGTCAAGCCCAGCACTTTCCCCAGCTCTGGTATACAAGGTCAAATGTACAGGTGAGGCACTGGATAAAGAAAAGTTTGCCAATGTGGACTGTAAGTGAATCAAATTGCAGCCCATCACTAGAAGAATACAAACGTCCCTCCATTAACCCTGGGATAGCCAATGGGACAGTCAATAAGGGTAATCAATAGAAGCACTTTGAAAAAAACCACAAGAGTACCCCAGCAAAGCAAAGGAAGCATCAGCTACCAAGCCATAAGGGAAGAGTCCTGCAGTGACCAAGAGCAGCTCTCTCATATTGCAAACTTTTTGCTCAGTACAGACAGCTTTGAGAGAACATTACTCCTAGTGGTTCAGCTGTATGAGACTCACAGGAGTACTTGCTTGCCTCACCTTCTCCTTTTTCCTCCTTGGGAGGGATAACCTTCTCACTGTCAGAGGAAACTGTGGCATTCTTGCCTGAATCTGTTTTTGTGGTGTTCTTTTCCTTCCTGGGCCTGGGTTTTGCAAACTTAGCCTTGTTTAGTAGATACTGCACTTCCCTGTCCAGGGCTGCTATCTTCAGCTCTATATCCTTGGACAGTAGAGTGGGTTTCTCAGTGGGAGGAAGTTTATTCTGTTCTGCCAATGTGTCATTTTTCCAAGTCTGCAAGGAAAGTCCAGAGTCAATCCCTCTCCATGAATATGGTATTTCCTGGTTTCATTAATCACTGTTAAATACACAATCGCAGATGCAGTACCTGGGCATTCTAACTGCCCATGGTCAACAAGGCTTCCACCCCCACGTCCTCCATGCTCTTAGCTCTCTGAGGCCAGAGAACAAGAGTGCCAATGGCTGCTCTGAAAGCCATACAAAGACTAATTAATAGGAAAGCACTAGTCTTCCCATACTATACATGCACTAGATGCATCTCCAGATGCTACATCTTCCCAAAGCAATATGCAATCAAGTTTGGAACCAGGAAGTACTAAAACAGAGAAAGGTTTTCCTAGCATGAGAAGAACGTACATCCTCTCTGCTCCCTCTCTCCAAGTGAGTGTAAACCCATTCGCTGTGGCACGGATCACATTATACAATAACATATCCTGAATGGGCTCCCCAGACCTTCACTTACCACAGTTTCATTGATTGCTTTCTCTAGAGTACTCAGTTCCACTTCTGTGAATACCTGATCAGCCTCCGGAATCATTCGTGCTCCCCTGAAAAGACAATGTTTCTTTCTGCTCTAATTTTTGTTCAGGTTAACATTTGCATCAACAGTATTTGAAATTTCTGTAAGTCATTGCACAAACTGACATGTTTTTGGACCTTACTTCTTTTTGCAGATACACGTAACTTTTGTTCAGCGAAAGTAAACACTAAAAGAGACACCGATATTTCAGGAAACTGGAAATGAGATGCAAAACCCCTAGTCACATTTAGTAGTGACCAAAATTAACTATGGGATTGGACTACAAGTGGGTTTCCTAGGAAGGAGGAAGTCCAAGGAGGTATTGGTGGATGAGGGGGCCACAGAGGCAGTCCTGACCCTCCTGATAATGGGTGTGCTTTGCAGTATGCACGAGGAGGTCAGACTCTTGTTTCAAAGAATAATTTATGAATGTTGTGTGTTTCTATTAATACAGTGGTTTCCAATAAGGAGGTAAAGGACTAGTCGACTATCCAATAAACAAATAGGAGTCGACCCCCTTGCTTCCTCTATCAGATAAAGGCAGCAAAGGGGATGGGGAAGAAAGGGTACTTCAAAGCAGCAGCGCTGCATGGAGCCCAGGGCACAGGCTCCATGCAACACTGCTGCTTTGAAACGCCATTTCAAATGGGCAGTGCCGCACAGCTGATCCTGGGCTCCGTGCAGTGCTGCCGCTTTGAAATGCCATGGCAGCGTTTCAAAGCAGCAGTGCCACATGGAGCCCAGGGTCAGCTGGGGACTACCTAGCTGAGCCCGGGCTCTGTGTGGCATTTCCATGGAACCTGGAATCATCTGGGGAGTCCCCAACTAACCCTGGGTTCTGCGGAAATGCCGCATGGAACCTGGGATCAGCTGACCCTGTTGTGTGGCATTTCAAAGCAGCAGTGCCGCATGGAGCCAGGGTAAGTGGGGGACTCTGGGGAAATTCCATCGACTACTAGACTAGTAAATTAATCAATATTTAATATCCTTAATTCCCAACCTGTGGTCCGCAGACCCCTGGTGGTCAGGATGATACTATAGGGGATCTGCGGAAAGTTTAATATAGAAATTAAAATAAATGTACAGTATATAAAAACCACACATGTATTTTAATAAATATTTGTAGATTGTGTAATTATTAAATATTAAGTTCTGTGATCATGTTACATGAATACATCAAATGATTATCAAGCAATGGAATGTTTGAAAACAGCTATATTCTTCGGGGATCCATACAATTTTAATAGATTGAAAAGAAATCCGTATTCTTGAACAGTTTGGGAGCCACTGTATTAACATTCCCTAACACGCTCTAGAGGGAGCCACATACCAGTCTTGTTCCACCTATGGCAGTGATCTGCAACCTTTTCATGCGTGAGATCACTTTTTGAATTGAAGTGCAATCCAAGATCTACCTGCAACCCAAATACCCTTGCCCGGCCTCCTTTGTGCTCCTTCTCTGAGGTCCCGCCCCTGCTCATTCCATTCTCCCTCCCTCCCTTTCACTTGCTGGAGCAGAGGGTGGGGTGCAGTCTCTGGGCTTGGATTAAGGGATGTGGAGTGTGAGAGGGGCTCTGAGCTGCAGGCAGTCGGAGTGGGTTCTAGGTACAGGTTCTGGGAGAGCATTTGGATGCAGTCAGTGGTGCTTGGGGCTAGGAGTGCAAGAGGGGGTTCATGACTGGGGTAGGGTTTTGGGATGTGAGCTCCAGCTGGGTACTGTTTACCTCAGGTGGCTTCTGGATGGTGGTGCAGTGGGGCTAAGGCAGGCTTACCCCTGGCCTGGCCCTGTACCACTCCCAAAAGCAGCCAGCAAGCTCCCTCCATCCCAAGGCCTCTTGTGCCCCCTCTGTTCTGTGGAGATAGGATACAAAGTGGGAGAGGAGGCACCTTGGCATCAGCCCCCTTCCTCTCCCTCCCCTGCCCTGCACAGCAAGCAGGGGGCTCCTGAGGGGACAGCTTCAAGGCAAAGGGAAAGAAATGTGCAGCAGTGGCGGGAGGATCAGCTAACGTGCCGGAACTTGGTAATAGCCTCTTGGCCAAACCAGTCAGGATCACCTGTCAGAGGTTCCAAGATCTACCAGTAGATCCTGATCTACTGGTTGGTGACCACTGACCAATGGGTTTAGTGGCTAACAGACCAGATTCCATCATAATTAGTGGATCAAAACACACGCAGCAACTTTCGCACCACCCACTGTTTCATATCTCATCAGGATCTTGCTCACTTGAGGAAGATGCTAGAGTGATTGAGCAGATTTTCAAGAGCAGCCAGGCGGTCTGGCCATTTCCTTCTTTCCTCTACACGAAAGAAAAGGCTTCTACAGAGTTTCTTCAGGTCAGAGAGCTTCTCTTTCAGTTCCTGTACATGGGAGAAAACAGAAGAATAAAACAGATCACCCATCTAATGCCCACTTTTACTCCCAGGAAAAATATAACTCTCAGTAGCCTGAAGTCCCCATAAGCTGCACACATACTGTACGCTAACAGCAGCTGGGACACTAGACCCTATATATAGAATTGGAAGTTAATTGCTCTGTGCTCCAAGAGAATGAACAGCGGGGATGGGAAGAGCTATTCCCTATGCAGTTCAGTGCTGGGCAAACTAATAGAAAGAGTTTCAAAGTGCCAGAGCATCCAAAAGAGCCGGAGTGATTAAAGCTCACCTTCTTTGATTTGGAGACATCAAAGAAACCAAGGAAGCCTATATCAATTTGCTATCTACTGGCAATTCAGTACCAACCAACACACTGCTTCTGTGCAGCAGTACCTTGGTCGTGGCTGTATAGCCCTCCTCCTCCATCCAGTTGGAGGCTTCACTCAGCTTGCTTGAGATTTCCTCTCTCTGCTCCTCCGTTGAGACAAACTGATATTCCTCCTGGTAAAGCTTGTCCTAAAAGAGTAAATGTCACTTCAGTTTAATTGCTGACTAACAAGAAGGCACAGACAGCAAAGGAGTCTGTGTCAACCCACAGAATGCAACTGCAAGACTCCTAGAGCTGCCTCATGCTACTGATGGGAAGTTCAACCCCCAAATTTGCTGTCCTGCTCCTTGAATCATCTTGGGCCAGAGGGACATGTAGGAGCGTTCCTCCTGTGCTAGCAAAGTGGAGTTTCTTCTCAGCTGGAGTGTGGTGACGCCACAACATGCGGAGGAGGGGACAGCATATACAAAGCTTTTATGCAGGCAGAGATTTAATTTAGCATGCTGCCCAAGCCCTCATCTGGTCCCATTTGTCTTGAAGCCTCCCAACACCATGTGGTACAGGGAACACTCAACACTGCAGAAGTGGACAAAATGGCAACAGACGAACTCTTCAAAGCATCATCTCCACTCCCTGAAACAGATACAGCTCTCTGCAGCCAGCTCAGCCTTTCCAGTGTATAGCCTCTCCCACCTGCTTTCCAGCAGCTTCCAACCCTATTCACCGCTCTTACCTGGGTCTCAAAGATGAATGCCTCCAGGCTATTGGCTGACTTTTCCCTCTCCTGCTTCTCTAAGTCTCTGACTGTCAGATCCTGGAGTCTAAAGTGCAAGGAGGCCAGAAATAAGCAGAAATGTCATCAACACCCATAAGAGTGCTCAGCTTCTGGGAGTGACCCACATCCACCCTGACTGAATTGGCCTCATTAATACTGGTCCTACACTTGATAAGTAACTCCCTCCTTTTGTTTATATTACACACACACACACACACACAGTCTCCCTGCCTATGTAATTTCCACTCCAATTCACCTGATGAAGTGGGTTTTACCCACGAAAGCTTACACCTAATAAATCTGTTAGGCTCTAAGGTGCCACAGGATTTCCTCGTTTTTGCAGATACAGACTAACACGGCTACCCCTTGGAGACCTGTAAGAGGGGGTGATGTTCTCTCTGCAGACAGTGATCTTTGTAGGCAGCAGCATCTGCCACTCAAACACCACTGACTAACCAATCAGCACTCAGGCCAGGCTGACTGCAGGATACACTTAGCTGTCATAGGGTCAAATCTAAAGATGGGAGGTTAGGAGAGATCTCTCCTAGTTTCAGACTTCAGAGTCACAGTGCTCAGGATGTTTCTCCTGGAGTACCGATTGGCTAAAACTTTCTACCTAACCACCTTTAAACCAAAGACCTCCCCTAAAAACTCATCTGCAAGATAGATGGTACAATTATAGTACCACTCTGAACATGTTCGTCCTTCATCCACGCAAAAGCTGTGTTAGTAGCCAAGCCATGCTATCAGTGTTTGTGGTCACCAAGTGCGAGGGGGGGGGAAGAGAGAGAAGAGAAATGGAAGAATCCCTGTCCGCATTGTGGGAGTGAGTGGGCCATTTACACACCATCATGGCTAACAGTTACAAATGGAACAGGCATAGATCTTTAAGTCATGTCTCATACTGCCAGGGTGCCACTTCACAGGGAGCTCAGAAGACCAGAACTGAAGATGAAAAAGATGAAAATTATTGGCTACAATTATGTTAATTGCTCAAGCTGAGCTTCTCCCCCACTCCCTGGGAAGAGACACACCATCTGAATTCCCAGCCATTCACTACAGATCAAATCTTCCATCCAACACACAAAGAGCCAGTGCTGACTGCACTTCCTGCTCTTGTCATTTTCTAGTCTCAGAACTGATCCTTTTCTGGTGCACATTTATCCCAGTTACTCCCTTGGCCATTCAGAATTTCTGGCACCTTGCCATCTTTCAGGAAATGTACCCTTGTTTGTTTGAAGGGAGATGCTGACAAAAGAAGGGTGATACAGGCAGTGGGGGGGGGGGTAAAGCCAGGTCTTGCAATGTTTATTGCAGTCAGAAGGTGATGTTATCTCTGCACATGACCTGTGCTCAATACACATGCACCTCAGAATCTATTGCTCACTGGTCTCTGTGCCTCAGCCCAGCCCACTCCCATAGCTTACTCCCTGCACTTCATCATGCTCTCCTCAAACTTACTTCTTCATGGAGCTCTTCATCTCGTCCTCCAGCAGGTCAGGCACATCACTGACATCCAACTCCACACTAATCTCATCAACAAATTTCTGCTTCTTCGGGGCTTTGAGTTTCTTCTCCTCTGTTTTGGTGGCTGTGCTACCACCAGGACTTTTGGACATTTCTTCCTCTTTCCCGGATTCTTCCATTTCTTTGGGATCCTGGATCACAGAAGAAACTCCAGGATTAATAAAAAAACCGATTTGCAGCACCATCTCACTTGCAACAAATATTGTGCAGAGAGGTGCACAGGGACCCAGTAAGTGGATTTGAGTTCCAAGCGTTAAGCTAATAGAATTATGTTCTACATTTATCAAAATCATCTGAAGGTTTGCATGCCTTATGCCACAGGCCTCGTCTCTGCTATGAAGAAGGTGTATGCTTAACTCAAACAAAAAATCCTAGTGAAAACAAGGCTTCACCTTTGTCTTCAATTCTACCTGCTTGCTTGTATGAGAATTAAACTGTCTTGTCTTCTCCAGGATTTTACTTCCAGTTAATTAAGAAAAAATCTGTAACATGCAAAGCCTGACTGGTTCCCAGATGGAGAAGCCATGGAACAAAAATGAACTAATGCCCACGATCACATAGGGATTTCAGAACAGAACCCAGGACTCTTGGCTCCCAGTACTGTGAACAGCAGGCCACAGCTCTCTTCAGAATAGGGTATGCCTACCTCTCATGGCACACAACAGCTCAGAATGGCACTGGAGGTACAATACAGCAGGACGAGGAATGAAGGGGCCTTGAAGAGGAGCATAGATAGGTTTGAATCTGACAGGACAACAGGAAGCAATGCTAATCACATCCCTCTGATGCAAGCAGGAAAAGGGTTCTCTGCAGTGCAAACTCCAACAACTCAAGTGAACTCTGACAAGAAACTTCTCAACACTCAGCTTAAGACACTGAGTAAGGTCACTCCCCATTTCTGACCTGAAGGAACAGGACAGTATTTCAGTGGCCATTAGGGGTATATTTTCAGAGATAGTGAACAGGAACAAAGCTGTGTTGCTCAGCCTGCACATGTGGGGTAAAATCTCTCCCACCTATTTTCAGTCAGATCTCAGTCCTGAGGTACAATGGCACATAGTGTCACCATTTTAGAGACTCTCCTTTGCAGAGTCAGTGGCTCACCTGAGGTGCTGTTTTTTCTCCTTCCCCCTTTTCCTCTGATCTCTCTGCTTCTGGAGGGACAGCTTTATCCTGCTTTGGAGACTGCGGCGGCTTCTTTTCTCTCTGCTCCTCGCTTAGTGTCCTTTCTCCCTCCTTCTGGTCCTGTTTCTCACCTTGTTCTTCTTTTCCTGCTTCTGCCTGGCTCTCCTCTTCCTCCTGGGCAGCAGGGAGAAAAATGCCACTGTTTTTACATGGAAACCTCATGCACGTGCCACAAGGAGGGCAGGCTCTGTAATGTTGTACTGGAAGCTTGGCATTCAAGGTATTCCAGAGGCTACAACAGAGGGACAGGCCAATGAGACTTCAGGGAAGTCACCATTATCAGCTTGGAACCACAACCCACACTCCTTTTCTATTTCACAGAAAGAGAACCAAAACTCTTATTGGTAACAACACAGGCGCTTCCAGGCCCAAGTGGCCTGTGCAGCAGAAGAACCTGCCAAGAGCACACAGCAAGATGCAGAAAATTCTAGCCTAAAAAGCACTATCCTGGGGATCCAGAAAGGAGACTGGAATGACAGACAGAGGCTCCACCAGGGAAGCTACCTTGACAGCAATAGCCCCAACAGATTGCTACCACAAGGGTTGTATGTTTATCTTCAACAATGTTAGAATTCGAGACACATACATTTTAGTGTACAATTGTTAATCTTGATGTCCTGGTGGTCACCCTGGTTTGCTTTGTGTTTAATTGCAGCCTCCAACTTTGCAGCCAGGACTGTACCTTACCTGGGTCCTACCTTCCTATCAAAACCAAGACCTCACCTGAACAGTCTCTGTCAGGTTGTCTCCTGTTTCCAGTGTAGGAGTTCCTCCTCCAAACAGGCTAGAGATTGTGTTTCCAAGTTCTGCAGGAAAAAAACCCAGAATGTCAGTCTTTGATACTCATCAGTCAGAGGTTTCGTAACTCCTCGGTGCAAGACAGATTCCCTTGACTTTTAAAATCATGAATACTGTAAAGTGCCTCTCCAAGGACCAACAGTAATCCAGAGGCAGCCAGGGATCCAGATAACACTTGCCATAACTCTGACACTACCAATTCCACCTCTCTTCCTGCACATCCTCCTGCATACAAAGTACTGGGGCCGCCTCTCTGCAAAAGCATAGCCTGGAATCTGCCTCCGTTTTCCACTGTTCATTGCCCTAGGAGACTTCTGCCCATACTCTCTCTCACCATTCCTCCTTACACACCAGCTGTAACCCTCTGCACTTGTCCTACACTAGGGAAATGGAAAGCATTCATTCAGCAACATCAAGGGCCAACCAACGATGAGCAGGGAGTGCTGAAGCACCAGATGTGAAAGACTTCCACTGCTGCCCTCATACCTGCACCTCAACACTTTGCCCCTAGCCTCGAGCCCCTTCCTGCACCCAAACTCTCACAGAGCTTGCACCCTCACTCCTTCCTGCACCCCAACTCTCTGGGTGTAGGAGAGGGCTCCAAGCTGTGGCAAAGTGTTGGATGCAGGAGGGGGTGAGGACTGTGGACTCAGGGCTTGCCCAGGGGGTGTAGGCATTAAGGCTGCAGCCAGGAGGCGCTTACCACAGGTTGCTCCCAGTCTGAAATGCAGCAGGGCTCAGGGAAGCTGCCTCTACCTAGTCCCACAATGCTCTTGAAAACACTGTCTAGCTGAATGCAGGCACCCTGTGTGTGTAGCCCCTGGAGAGGTAGGAGGGGGTCTACATGTGCTGCACTGCTGCCCCGCAGCTGCAAGTGCCATCCCCCAGCCGCTGGGAGCTGCTTGGACAGTGCTGGAGGCAGAGGCAGCAGGAGGTTCCCTGCTTCCGCCTCGGCTGCAGAGGTTACTTGCACTCAGCCAGCCAGCTGCTCCTGGGGACTGGACAGGCAGAGACAGCCTACACGAGAATCCCAATGGACTGGCAGACAATCCAGGATCTACTAATCTATCATGATTAACAGGTTGGTGACCACTGGTCTAGATAGTGCTTGGTCCTGCCATGAATGCAAGGGACTGGACTTGATCTCTTGAGGTTCCTTTCAGTTCTGTTGTTCTAAGAGCTCAGCACACTAGGGAACAAGCCCCAAAGGTAATCCCGACTCAGGGGACAAACAATAGAGTTTTGGTGTGATACAAGGAGAAGGGAAAAAGGACCCCATTATCCTTCAGTGAGGAAGCGAAAATAAGAGTTCTTTTACATCCATGAAAGAGGATCTCAGCCAGGTTGGCTGGAGACAGGCGAGGAGCTACTTCAAACAAGTTTAGTAGCTTGTTTTAGTTCTGGCTCTACCAAGTGTGTTATACCTTTTGTTTTATAGGGAAACATTTCTGTTTTCATTAGTATTCTCTCTCTCTCTTCAATATCAGCTTTCAACAATTTGCAACTATTTTCATTATAAATATCTCTCAGCGCTGTGATGTTATGAAGGCCCTGATCCTGAGTTGTAACACTCAGGCTATATTTATTGTGTTCCCTTGGAAGTAGCAAATGGGATACTTTCTGTGAGTAGTCAACAGCTGGGCACCACAGCAAATGCTTTGAGGATGTGTTGGTCAGTGTGTGCCTATTACTAACCTGCACAGAGGAGGAAGTCTGTGGAGGCCTGCAAGGCAGTGTGTGTATTGCCAGAGGCTGTTGGTTTCAGGAATCTGAGATACAGCAGACACAGAAAAGACCACTTCACTACCCTAAAGGTAGGTGAAAGCACATCACAACCCTGGATATCTGTGAGGAATGTCACAGTACTGCACTTAATTGGTCACTCTGTCCCCAGTCACAGAGACTTGTCTTTCGGAGGAACGTAGTACAGTTAACTGAGTTATAATTTCTAATCCGAGAATATGAATACAAAATGATGACAGTACAGTATATTTACTTGTTAATGTTGACTCCTCTTCTGGCTTGTCCTCCACTACAGTCTCAAACACAGACTCCACCTGGAAGCCAAGGCAGTGAGATAACAGAATTTAAAAACAGGACTCTCAGCAGCACCTGTGGGATAGGGAAGAGAGACTGCACGAGGAAGGAAGGGAAACAGATGGCATTAGCTGGCTAGCACTTACGCGGTCAAGGCTAAGCACTCCACTCTCATCCATGTTGAAGTGAGCTTTGATGCCTTTGGACTCATAATCAGAGTGCTTCCTGAAACTATCCCCAACTCCTCTCAGCCTCACAGTAGTGAGATTCAGGGACCCAAAGGCTCTGGAGGCGGGGGAAATGAAGAAAGGATTGATAGAATTATGACACCAACCAAAAAAGACTAAGCAGCAAAGTGAGCAGACATCCCCCTTCACCGCCTTCACTTCAGCATTGTCCCCAATCTACTCCAGTGTTCTGGATTCTACTCCCAGCACTGACTCTTGTGGGCCAGTCGCTTCTGAGCTTCAGTCAAATTCCAGACACTGGACAGGCTGTCATTTTTGGCGTTATGCACATTGTTTCACCTACTTAGCGTCAGTGACATGCACAAATGGGGACTCCTCACCCCTTCTGCCATATTGCAAATGTTCCAGGGCTATCCACTGGCAAAGTGTCTGAACAAGCAACAGACAGCTGTGCACTTCTTCACAGAAATGCCCTATGGTAATTAGTTGTTCCTGATAAGGAGATCACAGACACAAGTGAGCCCAAGAATCAAAGCAGGGATAGCCAGAGAGGGAGTCTGTGAACCTACAATACAAGCTGGTGATGGCAAAATGTGTCAGAATGACTCCCTTGGAGACTGCAGTCTCTGTCTAGAGAGAAGACAGCCCTGAGGCAGTCGCAGTGTGAGCCTTCCCCACACTGCCCTCTCACAATGGGCCTGACCCAGAGGTACTATATTTCAATGCCTGTATATAAAACCATGGTACAACCACATCTTGAATACTGCATACAGATGTGGTCGAGTCATCTCAAAAAAGATATATTAGCACCGGAAAAGGTTCAGAAACGGGCAACAAAAATGAGCGCAGGTTTGGAACTGGTCTCATATGAAGAGAGATTAAAAAGACTTGGACTTTTCATTTTAGAAAAGAGGAGACTAAGGGGGGCGGGAGATATGATAGAAGTCTATAAAATCATGACTGGTGTGGAAAAAGTGAATAAGGAAAAGCTATTTACTTATTCCCACAATACAAGAACTAGGGGTCATCAACTGAAATTAATAGGCAGCAGGTTTAAAACAAACACAAGGAAGTTTTTCTTCACACAGCCATTGATGGACCTAACCTTCATGAATCTATCTAGCTCTTTTTTGAATCCTGGTAAAGTCCTAGCCTTCACCACATTCTCTGGCAAGGAGTTCCACAGGTTGACTGTGTGCTATTAGCCAGGATGGGTAGGAATGGTGGCCTTAGCCTCTGTTTCTCTTGAGGTGGGTGACGGGAGGGATCACGTGAGGATTACCTGTTGTGTTCCCTTCCTCTGGGGCATCTGGCATTTGCCACTGTCAATAAGACCGGATACTGGGTTGGATGGACCATTGGTCTAACACAGTATGGCCATTCTTATGTACTAGCTCAACAAGAAGAGGGGAATTCAGTCTCCACAGTACCAACAGCAATAAAGATCTGTAATCCTTTGCCTTTCTGGTGAAAATCTAGGGGCCAATTAGCATCAGTTAAGTGGAGAGGAGACTGTTTACTACTGCAATGTTAGAGAATTACATTAGGTTGGCTGCTCAAGTATATAATGAATAGTCTAGCAGCACCTTAAAGACTAACAAAACATGTACATGGTATCATGAGCTTTCGTAGGCAAAAACCCACTTCTTCAGATGACAGGAGTAAATAATGATTGCAGCAAAGATTCTGAAATCATACATTGTCAGTCAATCATCTGCATGCAAGCTTCAGTCTCCAACTAAGCATCTATCAGTCAGCCTGGAGGAAAGTTTGTGCAAATGCCTGTCACCACATACCGCAGGTCTTCCTGGCTCAGGAAACCCAGGTCTCCATAGTTGACATAAAATTCAAAGTCATCTGTGTAGCGGTTAAAAGTGATGACCTTGCGCTGTGGATATGGTGCCATGCGCTGGAACAAAACTCGCTTGTTATGCTTCAAGCTCTTGGATTTATCCTCCTCCTCAACTTCACGGGTGAACTCCACCTGCATCACGCGAAAAAGGGTACAGAATCAGTCACTCATAGGAACACACTGCCCTACACTGCATTGTTTATAAGAGAATTCCAAAGCACTTGGTAGACAATCCTTACCCACCTAACGGGAAGTGTGAGCATTACCCCATGTTATCAGATAAAGTAGTGAGTGATTTGCCCAAAGTGCTCAGGGGTGAAGCTTTAGTGTCTCTCCTCCATTTACATTCCAGACTGAGCACCATTTCCTCTTCAGCACGAAGATCTGTAGGTTTACCTTATGCTATTCTAGCTCCACAAGATCCTACTGCTTATTTATAATCACTTCTCCCAATGTCACCCCACACTATGCCCTCTTCCTTGAGAGAAGGGAAAGCTCACCTGGATGGGGAAAATAGCTGCATCCCGAACAATGAAGGGCTTGACCTTAAAGGCTTTGCTCAGAGCAGCTGCCTGGTAGACTGCGCCCATAGCAGCAGCTTCATCTGCATTGATGCTCTTCCCCAGTTCATCCCTGGAAAGCAAGGGTGAGCGAGATGCAAACCTCTGCATTACTAGTAAAAACACAAGATTGGTGAGAAAAGGCACATGGCAGAGACGCCTCATACACTTACTTGCCCACGGCTTTCAACAAAACTTCCTGTACTTTGGGGACTCGGGTGGCACCTCCCACTAGAATCACCTGGTCGATTTCATCCTAGGAGTTCAGACAATCAGGTTCTGTCTTGAGAATGTATTTTTGGAAAAGCCAAGTTTACTGAGTCAATATCCCCTCCCCTGACTGTTATAGTTAGGGCTCTTCCAAATTAACAGTCATGAAAAACACTGCAAGGACCATGAAATCTGGGCTTCTGTGCACTTTTCCCCCTATACTATAGCGTTTTCATGGGGAAGATCAGAGTTTCTCAAATTGGGTGTCCTAACCCAAAAGGGAACATTTATTTTAGGGGGGCTGCCACATGGCCATCATTCTCTGCAATACTGCAAACCCCCCCCCCCCCCCACACACACACACACAATAACCTTTCAGCTTTCCCACAACTCCTTTTGAGGGTATGACTCGTGCAACTATGACACCATGAAATTTCAGATTTAAATAGCTGAAATAATTAAATGTTTATGAAATTGACCAAAATGAATCATCAATTTGGTAGGGCCCTGGTTATAATGCCCTGCAAGCAGTTTCTCTACCAACCCTGCTATCCAACACTTAAGATAGGGCTCCAAACATTTTAAGCCCTTATTTCAGTAAACTCCCCAAGTAGCTGTGTCTGAGTAAGTGCTTCAAGATTAGGCCCAACAGTCTTGGATGATTTACAGAGCGACGATCTCAAGCATCTGAGACATTGCACCTTATTCAGCAAAAAAGGTCACATCCAGATCATGGTGCATGACAGAAGAGCCAGTCATTGAAACACTGGTCCCAAGGGAAGGAAATAGTAATCACATGCACAAAAGGTGTTGATCCAAAGAGGCATTGCACTGCATCCCCCCAAAAAAGCCATTTAGGGGACTCTCAGAAGTCTTAAGGCACTTGCCAACTTAGAATCTAAGCACCGAATAAATTGTGCCTCTGAAAACAGTCACATCCAAACATAACCACAGTCAGTCACAGGCTCTCTGGAAGTGCATCTAGAGATTAGATTCCTTATCTATGGTGAAATCTAGGTCAATTTCAGATGCCTTCAAAAGATATGGGGTAAGTGCTCATATGAAAATAAAGGGCTTTTTAAGAGTCAGTAAAACTCTGGCCAGAATCTCTGGCTTATAGGCAACCAGTGCACATGGTAGTCAGGAAACCTGTTTGATATGGTATAAGTGAATGCCCTCAATTCTAGGGTGCACCCTTTGTGCCAGGACACAGCACTGCAGGAGACTTCACCTCTTGCACCCATTCTCAGCTGTGGGAAGGATCAAAGCCCAGCCTGTGTCTTCCCTGGAGTCCTTCAGAAAGAGTCTTCTGCAGCTTAGCTCTCTGCCCATGTCAGACAATAGTCCCCTACTGAGACTGAACTTTAAACAAAAGATCCTTCACCCAACTCCAGTTTCTTTAACCTTGCAGGCTCTAGCTCAGGACTCCTCCTTCAGAGAAACCTGTCTCCTCCTAATGTCTCTCCAACTGAGTTCCTTCAGGCTACCTATACATTTTAGTTTTGCCTCCTCTGACCCAGAGGTAGTTCGTTACACAAATACCACAGTGCAGAATATGAACAACAGTCTTTTCCTTGCTTTGCTGGTGATGGGGGTTAGCCTCTGTGACAGCGCGTTGGGGTTTTCCCGTCTCCTGCACTCCCGTAATGGCAGACAGACTCCACCAGCCAGTAGAATACAGGGAGTTTATTGCTTCTCCAGGATACAGCACAGCACAGATGTAATCCGGTTACAGGAACTGGGACTAGGATGCCTCAGCCCCCCTTGAGATGGGGGGTGGCTGGGCCCTACAATCCCAGCCCCCCTCCCTAGATCCTTCTCCCCTGCTCCCCAGCCAGCCACTAACTAACTCTCTTCAAGCCCTGCCCCCCAGCCAGGGCTGGCTTTCCACCTTCCTTTGTTTCTCTCCCTGAGGGGTAGCTGGTCAGACAGGTTCGAAGCCCCCTTTGCATAATGACTTCTCTCCTGCCCTGCTGGGCCGTGCTACAGACAGCAGCCAGCGGAGGTCACCCACTGCCCAGCATAGCCACCAGCAAGGTACCCCCCACTACGTCACAGCCCCATGTCACCTCTGCCCTCAGGAAGACCAGAGCCTGCACTTCTTAGTAAGGGAAGTGACCTTACCAAAACAAACACCACTCAAACAGCAGCGATACTGAGCTGTTGTTGCATCATAGTCACAGGACCCCACACTTGTCAAAGTATCCCTGGACCTACCAGGTTCATCTCTGCACTGCTCAGTGCCTGCAGCACTGGTTCAGGGACCCGCTGGAATAAATCAGAACACAAGCCCTCAAATTCTTGCCTGGACACCTTGGCCTTGAAATCCACATCATCCAGTAGCCCCTCAATCTGGCCAGGAAAAGAGAGAGAAAAAAAGGCATCGGCTTTACATTACACAGCATTCTCTGAGCGAACGTTGTTCCAGCTCCCACTGGGTTGGCCTGTACATTCCAGCCACTCCACTGGATCTTAGGAATGCAGCCTAACCTCTTGTATCCCCATCTCTTGATCTGTGCTAGAAGGACAGAAGACATAATGCCTTGAATGTAACAGCTGTCTAAATCGCATGCTTCTGACAGACCTCTTCCACTCCCCTGCAATGGTCAAAATATTTGGCAAACTGGTAACATTATGGACTTCATCAGCAAAATCCAAGTTCTCACCAGTTTGTTAAGTGAACATCAGTTTAGAAAAGCCATTACTGTTGACGTCTCCTGGGCAAGGTGTTGGGGGAGAACACAACAGTGTGAAAATTAAGTAAGCAGGGGGACTAAGCTCTCCCAGGCTCATTCTTAACCCAAGTCATCTCTCTTTCTGAGGAAGGGGGATTTCCTGCAGCACAGGGCTATACCTGGGCAAGGTGGTCAGCATTGGCACTTAGGATAGTCTTCACGCGATTGGCCTCCTTTAGCAGCTTGGCCATGGCCCGGAGATTCTGACGAATATCTTTGGAAGGCTGCTGCTTGTTGAAGAGTTTCACCAGATAATCCCGGAGCCGGTGCTCCATCTCCAATCCCCCTAGGGTGCGGTCAAATCTGAGAAAATAGGAACCAGAAGCCAACACTCAGACTGGATGGATCAAGTCAGTAACAGAACCTGGAGTTTCTCTTCTGGATGGGGAAGGTACTTGAGAGTTCTAGAGCTGACCTGGATTTTACAACTCTTACCAGAGCATGCAATCATCTCTCACCTACAAACTATTTATTATGAGAACAGTGTGCTGCAAAGGAGGATTGCATGCAATCCTGAAAGCGACACATAATTTTCTCCTCATCAAATACCAGCATGTGGGTTTAGACAAACAATTTTAGCTTTCAATGTTACTGATCATAAAAACCTCAAGCCTCCACAGCTGAATGAGGCTAATTTTCCTGATATTTCTCTTTACACTATCACACAAAATTCTAAGGTTCCTATCTCCCAATAGATTTGAAACCTACAAATATAAGGGGAAACATCTGGAAAAGCGGGAGCTTATAAAGGAAGGATGGGCTTCACCAAAACCAAAACAGAACCAAATTGTTGGCCCTTAAAATTAAATGTATATGCCAAATCTAAAAACGACCTAAGAACCAAAAAAGTGCCACCATGGCTAAACAAAATAAAAAGTAGTAAGGTACAAAAAGTGCAAATTAAATCATACTGAGGAAATAGAAAAGCTCAAAAGCCAGCTCCACATGCGCACCGGCTCCCGCCTGCCCCCCGGAAATAAATTCAGCTGGTTACACGTTTACACAAATAAATGTATTTCAACATCCCTAACAACCTTGACTCCAGCTACACAATTCATGTAGTTGGAGTTGCGTATCTTGCATTGATTATTTCCATCAGTGTAGACTTGGCCTAACTCAACTAAACTGAATGGAGTTCCATGGAATAAAGTAGAGGTATAGTGCTAGCACTACGGTTTGTCCATGTCAAATTTCAAAGACCTGCCCCAAACAACAGAAGCGTGACAGTTTCTCAAAAAAAGGTCACAAGAATCTTTTATAATAGAAAACATTGGTACCCTATATACAAAGGTCACCATGAGCTATACTTATAAGTCTGGTAACGTGTCCACATTCCAACTACTTTCTGCACAAAGTGAATTCATCCAAGTTATTTATAGACTAGATCCTCCCACCTAAGGCACCCAGCCCCCACTCCAGTTTTTTTCAGAATACTCATGTTTAAGACTAGTTCTGAAACGCATCCCATTCTGTGTTCAGAAGAACAAGCAAATCAAATATTTTTGTTTAAGAAAATCTCTTACCCAACCCCCCGAATCTGCAGCTGAGGTTGGGTTCCTGAATCCTTTGTTTTCACTGTCTGGTAAGTCACTATTGTGCACACGGTGCTTCCTGCTCCCATGTCATAAAACATGATATTCTGTAAAGAAGAAGTCAGAAAAGGCCAAATAAGATACCAGAATGTTTCCTCCCTGAATGGGAAGGAGAAAAGAAACGGGGGAAATCACAGAGCTTGGTATGAGGGCAGACACTGATCATTCACTCACAGACAGTGAAGCACAGTTACACAAATTAGACTTTCAGCAATAGCTATGTGGACTGGAACTTGTGACAACCCACTTACCAAGTGCATCCTTATTTCTCCCATATTTCTGTTTTATAAAGTAGAAGATAGAATGGATGTTTTGCTCTTCAAGAGTCCCTTCAATCAGAGGAACTTCAAATATTTTACAAACCGCTTCTGGTTCCCAGGGAGATAGGTTGGTATCATTCTCTCCATTTATAAATGGGGCAAAAAAGGTCAAGAGTGTGACAAAGAGTACTAAAATCCAGAAGTCTCAACTCCCAGCCTCCACACTCTGCACTACAAACTGCCTCTTTGCTTCCATATCTATCAGAAAGTACAACAGTTAGGAATGTATTTGCTGCATTATACACAGGGCTCAACAAATACTTGGGAGGAGGGATAGCTCAGTGGTTTGAGAATTGGCCTGCTAAACCCAGGGTTGTGAGTTCAATCCTTGTGGAGACCATTTGGGGCAAAAATTAATCAGGGGTGGTACTTGGTCCTGCTGTGTAAGCAGGGGACTGGACTCGATGACCTTTCAAGGTCCCTTCCAGTTCTAGGAGATAGGCAATCTCCATTAATTTAAATTTATAATGTAATCTACTTGTCTGTGGCGAGTAGATTACAACCTGGAAGAGCTGGTGCAGAGCGCAGAACCGCACAGCTGGCAAGCGGGGCTTCCTGCCACTTGGCGAGCCCTGGTTATACATATGGCCTCTGTCCAATATTTACACAGGTCTATAACAGGAATCACCAGATACAGCCAACAGCAGGAGCACATCTTCACAGTTCATCACTTTAAGTCTCCCACTCACTCAAGTGGAATTCAGTAGCTCCTCCACTTCTGCACCAGCTGCACGTACCTGTGCTGTGGCATTGATGTCCTTCCTCCTGAAGACGCCATAGTTCAGAGCCACAGCAGTGTTGTCATTGATCAGCTGCAGGACCTTCAGGTCTGCCATCTGAGCTGCATGCAGAACTGCCCTCCTCTCTGCCTGATTGAAATATACAGGGACGGTGATCACTGCATCCTTGACAGGTTGTTCTGCAAAGCATGGGAAAAAACAGGTTTTCCATGGGAGCGCCCTGTACAAAATCTCTTCCATAATAGGGCTAACAACATACAAGTGACTATGGAGACTGTAACAGAGAAGTCAACACAGCAGAGTCAACCTATTTCAGCACAGGTGAAACTGGAATAAGTCATTAATGGAGTAGTACCAGTGATTAATTTGTTTCAGCGTTTCCACCTCAAACCCACCAAGCTTTTCAGTGTCATATGAGATGGTCACACTCCCAGAGTATCTGCTATTAAAAGATCATGTTCAGATTTCAGCAATTAGTGAAATCCTGGCACATTAGTCTCTATATTTATTCTCTTTAGACATTGCCAGTATGAAGGCTAGTTAGTGCAAAAAAATTTTTTTTAAATATAGTACTGGCCCTTAAGAGACTGGACTAAGACATCACCAAACTGCCATCAGCTAGAAACTCTTTATTAGCCAAAGCTTGACAAACTGATGACCATTTAAAGGTTAAATGATTCAACATCCTGTTTCTGATTTCCCAAGATAACCTGTCTGAGACCTTCCAGTCCCCATCCCCTCCAGTTTCCCTGCAAATTCCACATCCCATGACATTAAACAAAATAAATGGAACCATGTATGGATATTGTAAAAACAACAATGATCATCCCAACCTGCGAAGTCCTCAGCCAGAGCACGTGAATAGTTCAGGACCATGCCCAGTATCTCTTCTGGAGAATACTGCATTTCACTGTAACACAAGACAAGGATGTAAAACCCTCCATCAGACAGACACCAAAAGTTTTATCAATTGTCAAACCCAAACTTCTCTAACAAATCTCAAAGCATTGGGCAATAAGAAATGAAGCACCAACATGACAGCCTCAAATCAGATATGTCTAAGAAATTATTGGATCCAGGGTAAAAATGGAAATGTTTTCCCCCAGAGAGTAACAAAGCAATGAAGCTGGCAGCAAAGCTCTTGGAGGTGAGAGTATTTGCCCCACCCTAACAAGAACAATGTGGCCAAAGCTCCACATTTAAACACACCAAATGGTAAAAAAAAGTCATCGATGAGAAGTCCAGCAGTGACCAGATGGGAAACAGACACCAGCTGGGTCGACAAAGCAGGAATAACATTATTCCAGAAGGTTGTAAGTCAGCCAAGCTGACAGTTGGGATTGAGGAAAGTAGAGACGCACACTCAAGTGGTGGGGTGATGCCACAAAAACCAGATATCAACCAGTGACATGGGGAGTGAGAAGAGAGAAAGAAAAGAAAGAAGGAAACAACAACCAAAAAACTTAAAAAAAAACCCCACAAACGGGGAGCGAGTAGAAGTCACACATTCAAAACAAGGGATCCTTGGACAGCATCCCTGCGCCACGAATGAGTCAAAGAATTGGGGGAAGTAATTCCGAAAAACTGCAAAGGTGCACAAGTGGACAGGGGACCAGAAAAAGGCCTTTCAGAAGTAGAGAATCCTGCATTAGCCTGCCTCCTCCTGGATTGAGGGTCCTGAAACCTAAAGTACTTTATATAGCCAGAGAACAAGCACAGCACAGGTAGCGGCAGGGACAGCTTCTCTCTTTCCCAATCTATCATCTGCCAAAATGCTTTACACTTCAGCTGGACTGATGCCTTGGGAGGAGGCGCGGGTTGTGAGGGAAACTTATTTTCAAATGTCTCTGGCAAATGTGGGCCGCCGCTGACTGGGAACTAAAATGACATCTCTCTCCTCCCAAGCTCACTTCACACAGGGCCCAAAGAGTTATCACTGTTTTCAATACTGACTTGGGTGGAATTTGAACCCTCAAACAAGAAGTGACAAATCCAATAATTGGGCCTTGGAGGTCTCCATTCCTTTCCAGAGAGATTTTATACCTCCAACTGTCACTGTCTGGAGAAATCTCCTAGCATGATACATACAACAAACTTTCCTTGCTTGCCCATGCTATGGAGAAAATTAAAACCAGTATTTCCTCTCCCTAGCAATGAGAGTCAGCATCTGACATTCTAGAAGAGATATTTCCCAGCACATTTTGTTGCCAACAACCCTGCAGTGAAGGTGTCAGGAGAAAACTGAACACTCACTGGGACAGTTTGAAGATAACCGTCTGTCTTCTTTCATCCTTTACCAACTCATGTTGTGGAAATCTCCAACGATATAATGCCACCTGGGGGTTATCCATGTGTTTACCCAACAGGTCCTGAAAATACTGGAGTGCTATCTTCGGTTTTTTTATGGACTGCAGAAAGGGAGAGAGAGAGTCACTCAAAATGAGAAAAATCAGTCTTGACTTTCAGACCACTTTCACAAAAGTTGCTGCCCCCTGCCACGTTCCACAACCAGTCCTGCATTACATATGTATATTTGTAAAAGATATCTGCTATGGGAAAAAGGCTGACAGGCTGGTAAAAAGCAGAAATGAAGCCACGTGGAACTAGGGTTTCCATAGGAGAACTAGTACAAGGTGGCGGTGGGATAGTAAAATCTCTTAACCTGAGTACTCAGATACCCATGCACAAGGGACTAGTGAACAGAATATATATTGGAGTCTGGGTTTTGTACATGGGTATGTGTATAACAAATTCTACCTGCATATAGTTGATTTGGTATCTTACCATTCCCACTGCACTATCGCCAAACAGACGCTCATTTTCTTTCAGGGACACAGCCACTGGTGTTTTCCTCCGTGATTCTCTAAGGAAGAAAAAAGGATAAAGAAGTGATACAGAGTGACACTCATTGCCAACAACCAACTCTAACAGGTCTGAGAATGTTTAATCCAGAAACTCAAGGAGGATACTCAGATGCCAACAGATACTGAGGCTACATGCTTGAGATAGCTCATCACTGATTACTCTGAAGTGTTTCAATAGCAGCATCTCCCTCCAGGGCAGTTCGGCCAATTGATCATTCTCCAAGAACGAGACGCAGCACAGTTCAGTGCATTGCCACCTCCAATGGCTCTATATGTCTATTTAAAGACCTCTATGACATAGGCCTGCTTCCATACTGCTGGGAAGCTTGGGAGAAGGTAACCAAAACATTAGAATTCCAGAGGAAGCACTTTCTTGAATTTCTAACAAATGGCTCAGAGCTGGAGGCCACTCTAAGGTAACCTTAGTGTGCTTTTGATTTCTCAGTACCTCCATGGCCTATTACCGTCTGCAGCTCTCCCTGTCCCCTAATACTCCTAGCTTGAGGCAAATGAAAGAATAGCCCTTGCCGGAGAAGGTAACCAAAACATTAGAATTCCAGAGGAAGCACTTTCTTGAATTTCTAACAAATGGCTCAGAGCTGGAGGCCACTCTAAGGTAACCTTAGTGTGCTTTTGATTTCTCAGTACCTCCATGGCCTATTACCGTCTGCAGCTCTCCCTGTCCCCTAATACTCCTAGCTTGAGGCAAATGAAAGAATAGCCCTTGCCAACAAGCAGGGGAGGAGCCAACTTTCCTATCAGGCCTTTGCCAGCAAATTCATAGATTCCAAGGCCAGAAGGGATTATTGTGACCATCTAGTCTGACTGGTAATTTCATGAAGATAATTCACTTTTTAATGACAGCAGATATTTTAAAAAACAGTCTACTTGATTTTAAAATTGGCAGCAACAAAGAACCCACCATGACCCTTGGTAAATTGTTCCAATGGTTAATTACAAATCACTGTTAAAGTACCGTATTTTCCGGCGTATAGGGCGACTGGGTGTATAAGACGACCCCCTATCTTTTTAATTAAAAGATAGGGTTTCATCTTATACCCCAGCGCCCCTCCGCCTCCTTTGCTCCCGGTGTCCCTGGTCTGCTGGAGATGGTCCCCAGCAGCCGCGGAGGGGCTCCGGCGGGGGGGCAGCCCATGCGCGCCTGGGATGCCCCCCCCGCCGGCTTCCCCCGGCGCTTTTC